AATTAAAAGTTCAATACTGAACTTGAACTGAACTTTTTTTTTAAAAAAGTTCAAGTTCAGTTCACTATTGAACTGAACCTGAACCTGAACCTGAACCTAACCAAAGTTCAGTTCAGTTCAGGTTCATAGGAACACTATTGAGAGGTCTTTCAAAAAAGTCAAAATTAACAGAATAATAAAAATTACTAGAGAAGAAAAAGGTTTGCTCACAGAAGAAAAAGAAGTACAAAATGAAGTATAATCATACTTTTTTAAGTAGTTTTAAAAGCATATCACAAAACAAAACTTTTTATCTTCAAAATAAATTAGAGCTTATAATCTTATAGAAAATTTAAACAAAGATATTTATACTAGCTTGCTGAATAAAGTAATAGAAAAAGAATAGAGAAATGCTTTTAGCTAAACAAAAAATAAATCTGTACTAGGAGTATTAGAACTAAGTTATCTATTAATTAAGAAAGTAAGAAAAGTAATACAAAAGATCTTTATATTACTAGCAGATCAATGTCTAGCTACAGAAGATATCTCAACTAAGTAGAAAATAGATTAGCTATATTTAATCTTAAAGAATGAAAATTAAAACTATAACCTATTAAATATAAAGCTAATTGTACTCTTAAAAGTCTTTAAAAAATAGTAGTTAGAATACTTAACAAGAGACTAGATTATATCTTGATTATATATAAAATATTAGAAGGTTTTAATTATGTAAGGTTGTTAGAAGACAGTATAGCAAGTTCTATTTATATTATGAACAATATTCTAAAAGGCACAAAACAAAAAGGTAAAGAATTTTGGATATTGTTCTAGGATATAAAAAAAGTATTTGACTTAGTAAGTCTAGAAATAATAGAAAAAGTACTAAGAAGAATCAAGCTACTAAAACAAATAATAAGATTCCTCCTTAGCTTATATAATAAAAAAAAAATTAAAGTTATCATAGAATATAAACTAATTTAAGAATTCAAAGCAAAAGATAGTCTTAACTAAAGAGAGATAGTCTTATCATTAATATAACATATTTTTTATGACCTGCTACTATACTTAATTTATAAAAAAGAAAACTTAAGATATATAGTAAAATCAAAATAGCCTTCTGATCTAAGCTCAAATAGAATTCAAGTATTATACTAGTAGCAAGACATACTAGCTTATACAGATAATATAATCTAAATAGCAAGATCTAAAGAAGAAATACAAGAAAAGAAAAAAGGTTGCAACAAAAAGATATTACATAAAAATAAAAATTATATAGTACTCTGAATAAATGAAGCCTTTACTCCAAATCTATTATGTACTATAATAAAACTAGCAGTATAAAGAAATCTGCTAGAAGCGTAAAGGACAGAACACCAAAACAAATATGAAAAGACCTGTACACGTATTTGTTTACATTACTATTTCATCGTTATCGATTTGTACAGAGAGCTCACGTGATATATTCTCTAATTTGGTAGATGTATTTCCAATTTGGGTTAGATAAACATTGCCGATCATTTTGAATGTGTGAGCTGCATCGCTACTTTTTGTGAAAAAAAACACTAAAAGCAAAATGATGAAGAGAAGGACCATATAGTAGGAGTACCAATAGTAAAGATTTGTAGGAGTATATGTTATATAGAATAATATATTCTATTAAGTCTATACTCTTGCTATTGCTTGAATATAACTTGACAAATACTTCTTTGGTTGTTGCCAAAGCTACTTTTTCGATAGTTCTGTAGACTTCTACTGAAGAGCCAAACTCACAAGGAGCAGTCTTTTTCAACTTTGTTTCATATTGTCCACATACAATCTGAAGCCCTTGATTCCAGTTACTACTCAGCGAAGTTTTGTTGTATAAAAATATACTAACTATATAATATTCGTAGGTCAGCATTTTGTAAAAATATTAGTACAAGAGATCATTCAGTATATATATTTTCGTTAATCTTATTTGTAATAATATCCTATAATTTATCTATATTTTTGTTTGTACAGATTTTTTTTAAAAGTTTACTATTGCTTTTTAGATCAAATTCTTTTAGTAAGTTTTTATCTAACTTTGTTCTATAGTTTTCTCAATTCTCTTCTTGTGTTTTATTAAGTTTAAATATTCTTCTTTTTTTTTTATATACTTGTCTTTTGCTAGTAATTTTGCTTTTTATAATATATTTGTACCTAGTTCTGCTATTATGATTTTGTAGTTACTTCTTGTAATATAATCTGCTTCTACTACTTTGCATAGCCTACTTAAGACCTATATATAGTCTATTCTTGTGCTGACTACTTTGTTTGACTATATAAATTCTTTTTTATATAGATATATTAATCTGAATACATCTTTAAGATTTGAACTTTCTAACTATCTTAGAAGAGAGGGTAACTGTTTTCTGTCTAAGACTTTATTACTTTAGTTTAACTTTTTAGATCTAATATTATTAAAATTATCTATAATGAAACTTTAATGTTGTCTCTTTCATAATCTCTTATTTTTTTAATTATTTGATATTAGATTTTTTTCTTTTTTTCTTTATTGTTTAATAGAATATATATACAAATTACTAGTAATTTATATTTTTTAAATAAAATTAGTATATCAATATAGTAGTTACTATATCTTGTAACTCAATTTATATGCTTTTCTCAAACTTTACTAACTATTAAACCTATTTTAGAGCTTTTTAACTTAATTTTACGTGCTTCAGTTCAGAATAAATTTACTTTGTTACTCTATAATTTTTATTTTATTAATTTCTAATATATTTATATTATTTTTTAATATTCATTCTATTACTAATTCTAATTTATGACTATTAGATTTGAGACTATTGATATTATATATAGCTATATTTATTATTCTAAAATAGATTTAGTTTGGTTATTAATTAAATTTTTTCTGTACTATTAAACAAGTTTTCTCTTTTATTTGTATTAGGATTTTTTTAATTCAACTAGTATAAAAATTAAGAGCAATTTGCCCCTATTCTCTTTATATTAGCAAGTTTTTATTCTAAGTTTTATAGCTATTGAGTTATATATTTTAGCAAAGATTCTTAATCTTTCTATTAGTTTTGATTTTGAAATTCTGTTCTTGTATTTCTTCTACTTCTTTTTAGATGCAAATAATTTTTTGATATATTATTTATTATTTTTTCACTATTACTTATTTCATTTTTAAATATATCTTTCTACTTTTATAACTCTTTTAATACTTCTCTATCTAATATATTTTTTACCTTATATCTGTTACTATCTTTATTATTCTTAGTATTTTGTACAAACTTAGAGTATTCTGCTTTGAGATTTGAATCTGATTCTTTTTTTTTTTTAAACTTTTGATGCTTCTTACTTGCAAATTTTCTTGTTTACTAAGTTTTCTACTATTTATTAATTTTGTATTTTCTACTCTTTTATTTGCTTATCTTAGCTTATTGTTATTGTAATATATTGCAAACTTTAAGCTTTTTACTAGATCCTTTTCAAATTCAAAATATACTATTATACTTCTTATCCTATTATTATTTGTATTTTTGAAAATATATAATACTTTTGTATCTGATCTTTTAACTTATCTTCATAGAAGAACTTTATTTGTATTTTCTGATAAGTCAATAAGCTTTGTATTAAATCTATTTCTTGAGTATAGTAATTCATGTTTGTTAACTCAGCACAAATTATTGGCAATATAGATTCAGACCTTTCTTATATATAAATTAATTCTTATATAGTAAGTACATGTATAAATCCTGCTGTTAGTCTTACAAGTAGATAGTTGCTAAAAAGCAGATACTAGATCTCTTCTAATACTCTTTTATTATATATATATTTTTTTGAATATTACTATAGCTCTAGTCTTGCTAAAAGTATTTCTTATTATTTTAATATGTTTAATTTTTTCTATACTTCGAACTATTTCAAAAATCTGAATTTTCTTTGTTCTATTTAGTAAGCCCTATATAGTAATTTTGTTTAAATTATCTTTAAAGTTTTCAGAACAAGATTTGTCTACTAGTAAGTACTTCATATTTTTCACTCTTATATATATTAGCATTTTTATTTTTGTTTCTATGTTTATATATATCTTCTAGTTTTGATCTTACTTGCTCTTTTTTTTTTTTTAATCTTTATAATCAATATACTTCTCTTTTCTTTCTTTATTTAATACTACTTCTAATTTTATAATACTTATTTTCTTAGCTATTCACTCTGCTTTACCTTTACCTTTCTTGTTTTTTTTACTATTTTAGTTATTTGTTTCTGTTGTTTTAGATTTCTTTTCTTCTATTTCTTTTGCTTTTTTATTAATCTAAATTGCTCATATTCTTCTTTTCTTTTTTTTAATTTTTTTTGTATATTTTCAAAACCTTTCTCACAATTAAAAATTAGTATATACTATTGGTTTCCTTTAGAAAACTCTTCATATATTCTTTTTACATGAGAGTTTCTTCTTAATACCTATTTTAGTAATTTTACTTGATATTCTGCATTTTCTCTAAGCATATTTGCTGCTAATACTTTTGTTTTTATATTTTTTATATTTTTATATCTTTCTTATCTTGGTACCTAAATACTATCATCAAGTGATTTTGTTAAATCTACTACATCTTCTTGAATGATTTTTATTCCTTCTATACTCTTTGCTACTTTTTTAGCTATTTTTTTTGTTTTAAATTAAGTTTTATCTATAATCATCTCTACTTCTATAAGCTCTATACTTAGTAATTCTTCTATATTTATTATTTCTATATTTATTTTATTCTCTTCTATTTTTCTTTCATTAGGATTGTTGATTATCTCTCTACTTTCTTATTTCAAAATATTTTCTACT